CACACACACACACACACACACACACACACACACACACACACGTCTCCTGCTCTCAGATGGTGGCCCAGATTAAACAGAACAATACAGTCCAAACGTGATAAATGTGCATCTACTTATTCCTCTCTTTCACTCCCTCACTCAGTCCATCCATCCTCAGACGAGATGAACTGAAAGCGAAAATAAGCAGCCCATTCATTCACCAGTTATCTCTGTGGGCGTCTGTATCTCGTCTCTGCAAGTGATGGGACTCCTTCCTCCCTCTTCTTTTAATTTCAAATCCCTCTATCTCAGCTTGTGGAGAACAGTGGGTCCGCAAGGAGTTCAACCGACCCCTCGTCTGTTAAAACAACATACTCTCTCTCCTCTCTGAAGATCAGTCGTCTGAGGAAGAGAGGGGGTCTTCCAGTGACTCTGAATCAGATCTGAACTTGGGTGGCAATCTGAATGTAAAGGAATCTAAGCAATATCTAGCATGTAAAATGTCTTAATTCAAAACCACCATTACTTCATCATACAGTTTGAACTGGCAGAACTGAGTAGATGGGGGGAGAACATTTTTAAAGGCACTGTATAATAAAACATTTTCTCAGCTACATTTTCGTATAATAACATATATAGAATAATTTAAGTAGAATAACACTAATTTCACTTCCAGTCAGTAGGATGGAAATGTTTTATGAGTAATTGGAGGTTTTGACATGATTAAGAATCCTGAAAAAAAACTATACTTTATAGTGTATAAACAAATATATAATATGTTGTTTTTGTTTGTTTGTTTGTTTGTTTGTTTTTGTCTTTGATTGCCTTTAAATTGTTTTAGTGGTTGAATATAAAAGTGGAAATATAATATTAAATCAGGTTAAACTGAAGTTGTTGCTCCCTTAAGGATTTTTCTTCCATACCTATATCAAAATTTGCATACTGAACTAAGTTATAGTTTTTCTGGAGCAAACTGAAAATTTGTTGGTGTGTGTAATAGTAAAGTCTTGTGATATCAGTTTTTCACGCCTAGCAAAAATAAATCTGAAAAGAAAGGGTCAATTTACTAAAACTTTTTTTTTTTCAGCTTTTCTAGCAAGTCAAACTAAGAGTCATGTGCCCCCTTATGGGCATAAAAGAGACATGCATGTGAATTACCTTGAGTTATTATCTGGAAAACAAATGCAAAAGCTGCTAATTTGTTTACTGTCTATAGCAGTGTATTCTAGATATAAGTAAATAACTCAACTGCTTATTTTTTCATTATTTTTATTTTATTTAATGACTTCTTAAAAATATTTTACTGTTTTATTTGACTTTATTACTATTTATTACTATTTTATTTTCAGTTATATCTTTTATTATTTTTTAGTTATTTTAGTTTTAGTTTATTTTAGTCCTTCAGTTCATATGTACCATTACATCCAAATATCTGCTTAACTTATACAGTAGGAGTAACTAACATAGACTCAGTTCAAATTTTTGGGAAATCTTGTAACCTGACTCAGTGGATCTTTGGCTCGTTTCACTTTTAGTTTGAGTGTCTGTTTGTGTTATATGCTAGTGTGATGTCACGTCCTGCTGTGTTGGTTTTGTGGCAGGGCTGCTGGACATGGGCGTCCTGCTGAGATGTCCGTGGCTGGGTCACAAGGTCTCTTCCCTCAGCTTCTGACAGGTCCACTAATAGACTCAACCGCTGAATATGATGAATTGACCGTATTTAGCTATATATGTTCAGCTGTGACAAGCAGATTGGCAAATGGAGACTCACTCTTTGTTAATTGCATTTTTCAGGAACTTTTCTCACCGAGCTTTCAGTAAACTCTTATTTTGGCTCATTCAGGTCAGCTTAACTGTTGAAAAGAGCAGTTTGTCTTGAGAAAATCCTGAAGGCACGTTCACGTTGTCATCTGCACAATGCACAAACACAAACTTAATGCCTCTTGCAGTCAGTGTCACTGCCGTTTGTCTCTTTGAACTGCTATCAACATTATTTGAAGCAACTGTCTTTTAAATCTCACCATCTTTCTCTGTCCCTCCCTTCTATTTCTTCCTTTACACAGTGTGTCTAACTCTGCTCTAGCCCGTGACCTCTCAAGCCACCAGTCCGCCCATCTCGTTCGGACTGTGGCCCTAAGATGGCCCAGATCACTGCCCCAAAGCCTAGGGAGTGGTTGTCCTCTCTTGAGCACAAAAGAGCCACGGCTATCCGCTCAGCCGAGTCCGGCCCCCATCAACCCATCCAAGCGCACAGGGAATGCATTAGCCTAGGCTGGGCTTTGTGCGTCCGATTTTTCTCATGTGCTTCTTCATAGTTTCGCTAACACTTCAAGACCGTCAGGTGTCTGCCTTGTTTGACCACTCCAGTTGCTCTCAAAGCGGTCAGCACAGAAAGGCCGTTTCAGTGTCAGGTCTTGTAGCTCTCCCTGTTCGCCACTCAAGCGAGAACGGCACAAAGCGGGTCGCTCATTCTAAGGGTTCCTCAGGGCTTCTCTTATATTATATGAAGTAATAATAAAAGATCTAAAAACCAAAACCATGGTCTCAAGGACTTTTTCTTGCTCCCTCAGGAAAGGAGTTCCCAGCCTCTTCCAGGCAGCCGCCCAGCCTGTCTTGAACCATGATTCAGGTGAGGAGAAGGGCTCAGAGGAGGATCGGAGTGACCATGAGGTATGATCTCATGTGACTTCATAATACATAAATTGTAAATTCCCAGATGTACAATGCTGCTTTTCAACCTAAACAATTCAAAAGTTTGGTATTGGTAAGATTTCTTAAAGGTGCCATAGAATGGAAAACTGTATTTACCTTGGCATAGTTGAATAATAACAGTTCTGTACATGGAAATGACATACCGTGAGCCTCAAACACCATTGTTTCCTCCTTCTTATGTAAATTGATCTTGTAAAATGTGTGGTAAGTACTGCCGCTGTAGTTTACACAGAGCACGTGCGATCGCAAATCTCGAAAGTGAAAGTAAAACGATCGTGCATTCGAAAGCAGTTTCAATGCCCCGTATATTAATAGCAGCTCCCTGATTCCCGCATTTTATATACAGTATAATTACCCAACGATTTAACTGTGAGAGATAGTAATGAAATATATATTTTCCCTGTGTTTCCTTCCTGGTGTGTGAGCTACTGAAATGAGCCGCACTGTGAAACAGCCAATCAGAGCAGAGCTCAACATTGAGCCGCACTGTGAAACAGCCAATCAGAGCAGAGCTCAACATTGAGCCGCACTGTGAAACAGCCAATCAGAGCAGAGCTCAACATTGAGCCGCACTGTGAAACAGCCAATCAGAGCAGAGCTCAACATTGAGCCGCACTGTGAAACAGCCAATCAGAGCAGAGCTCAACATTATTATTCATGACCTTTCCAAATAAGGTAAAAACAGAGCTTTTTTTAATTCTAGCGACAAATCCTAGGGTTGTAAATGGACATGTAATCCCGTTTCTGGAGATTTTTTGACCTTACCAAAGCCACGTACTTTCTATGTAAATATCAGAGAACAATTTAAAATATTGTATCAATGCATTCTATGGCACCTTTAATGTTTTTCAAAGAAGTCTCTTATGCTCACTAAGGCTGCATTTATTTGATAAAAAATGCAATATTATTAACAGTAATATTGTGAAATATTATTGCAATGGAGAATAACTGTTTTCTATTTTAATATATTTTACAATGAACTGTATTTCTGTGATACAAAGCTGAATTTCCAGCATCATTACTCCAGTCTTCAGTGTCACATGACCCTTCAGAAATCATTCTACCGATTTGATGCTCAAAAAACCTATTGAAAACAGCTGTCCTGCTTAATATTTTTGTGGAAACTGTGATAATTTTTTCAGCATTCTTTGATGGATAACTCATTCAAAACAACAACATTTATTGACATTTTTTTTTGTAACAATTTAAAAATCTTTACTGTCACTTTTGATCAATTTAATGTGTCCTTGATGAATAAAACTTCTTTTGAATATCAGTGTAGATTCTCCCAGAAATAACTGTCTAGAACTATCAGAATATCTATATTATAAATTATCATTATAAATATCAGAACAGTTATTATTATTATTACTTTTTCTTGAATATTGATGTCTTATATTGTTTAAGGGTTTACATTACACTATATATTTTAATCTAAATCATTTACATCAAGAAATACTCTTCGAGATCAGTACCATTAATGAACCTTTCTTATGTTTCAGCTGTTTAGTCTGGTGAAGAGTTTGGTGGCAAATCGTTACAGAGATGTGCTGAGAGAGTTTGAAGAACTGGATGAGAAAAACACCAGACGTCTCACTCAGGAGGAGATGTACCAGTTACTTAAAAGGTGACGTACCACATATACAAAAGAAAAAAAAAGTTCCCTCATATTTGTTTTCTTCCATATTCCAAAGATTTTTTCTGGTCACAATGCATACTTGTCAGTATTTATCACTAGAGCATAATAGTAATGGTACCAGCCTATAAGAGCCAATGAATGCATGGAAATCAAATGAATAATTGATTTGTTTTCAGGCATAATGTCTTCGTTAGTTCTATGAGGACCTCAGTTTGATAGTCAGTACTTCAGAAGATTATCTGGGGGACATTTATATAGTTGTCTCCAACACACACACACACACACACACTATTGAAGATGTATTGGAATGTGGAATGCGTTCCTCCTCATCGTCTTTAACACCATGCCGAATCACTGAGTTTTTCTCCATGGTGTTCAGTCCTGGGTGTCTCCCAGAGTCAGCACTTGTGACACAAGCATTCCTTGTGTGTCTCACAAGACCCATGCAGTCCACCCGAGTCTCCCAGCCCTGGTTTTTACAGAGCTCTTGCACTCTTTTGTCTCCTAAGACAATGCCAATGGAAAGCAGGCCTTTTCTCTTGGCAAATGATGCCTTAATTGTGCAAGTTAACAACCTACTCTTTTTTTTCCCCATGAATAACGATGTGTTTGGTGTACGGAGCCTGAGAGAGCTGTTGGCACGGTGAAGTTCTGAGGCCATTGGTTTTCTATGGCCTACTGCATGCTTGTTTAGATGTTCCCATGCCTGCTTCACGTTCAGCTACACTGCTGTACTATCCTATGTATCTCTGTTGCTCCTCTAGTTAGAGCTATTGCAACCATTACTATTACTTTCACATATAGTTTTTTTTTTCTTACTTAAGCTCTAGCCCTTAGTATAAAACTACATGACTAAATTATGAAAAATGCACAATACTAAATTATTTACTACATAAATAAAATTTTATTTTGTCTGGCTGATGAATAACCCCAACAAAATTCCATAGACTTGCATTGAAGGACGAGCCTCAGTCGTATCTAGAGATTAGAATATTATAATGGTGTGGCTTTTTTAGAGGGCCAGAAAATAACATTCCAACAACCTTGCAACTACCTGGAAGATCCTAGCAACCAAATAGCCCTGGCAACTATCCAAAGCACCCTACATTTTGCATGGCCAGAAAGCACATTTTCATCAGTGTATTTTCACATTTTCAGAGCACATTTTCAAATATAAAGTGAATATTGTTTATTTAAAACTATTGTGTTGATGATTCATTAAAATACTTTTCTTTTTACTTTTACACGTGGGCTAATTATTATTTTCAAAAACTTTTTCAAACATATTGTTCAAGATAAAATGCTTTTTCCCAATATCATGAATGTTTGAATAATGAATTGTGAAGCCTTTGGGAATTATAACATTTGATTTTTTTTATTAATAAAAATAATTACGATAAATATATTTATAATGTTTATTTTTAAATATGTATTAATTTATACATATTTATTTTAAATATTAGTAATACTTATTTTTTTATTAATTTGAAATATTCCTGATATTTTTCAGAATTTTTTTGTTTTTTGCACATAAACTAAAGGATTTTTTTTTTTTTTTTTGCATTGACAATAACTTTTTGAAGTTTTGTTTGAACCATTTGATGAGATTTTTTTCTTTGACATCTCTAGACAATTTCACCAGCTACACATTTTTGAATGTATGCCCCACCAAACATATCAAAATGAATTAATAATCAAAAAATTGCATGAAATTATATGACATGTTGATCGTGGAAGAAGTGTATTCTTTGGCATTGTCCGTATTATTTGCCTTTTTGCATCATGTAATTGGTTTTAAGCGATTCAGTCTCTTAGGCTCTTGTACCTGTCATCTATTTTTATATCAACCCTCAACCCTTGTCTCTTTCTTTAACAACTTGTCTTTTCCCACATCTTTCTCTTTTCTTTCTTTCAGTCTGTACACACACACACACACACACTATTGAAGATGTATTGGAATGTGGAATGCGTTCCTCCTCATCGTCTTTAACACCATGCCGAATCACTGAGTTTTTCTCCATGGTGTTCAGTCCTGGGTGTCTCCCAGAGTCAGCACTTGTGACACAAGCATTCCTTGTGTGTCTCACAAGACCCATGCAGTCCACCCGAGTCTCCCAGCCCTGGTTTTTACAGAGCTCTTGCACTCTTTTGTCTCCTAAGACAATGCCAATGGAAAGCAGGCCTTTTCTCTTGGCAAATGATGCCTTAATTGTGCAAGTTAACAACCTACTCTTTTTTTTCCCCATGAATAACGATGTGTTTGGTGTACGGAGCCTGAGAGAGCTGTTGGCACGGTGAAGTTCTGAGGCCATTGGTTTTCTATGGCCTACTGCATGCTTGTTTAGATGTTCCCATGCCTGCTTCACGTTCAGCTACACTGCTGTACTATCCTATGTATCTCTGTTGCTCCTCTAGTTAGAGCTATTGCAACCATTACTATTACTTTCACATATAGTTTTTTTTTTCTTACTTAAGCTCTAGCCCTTAGTATAAAACTACATGACTAAATTATGAAAAATGCACAATACTAAATTATTTACTACATAAATAAAATGTTATTTTGTCTGGCTGATGAATAACCCCAACAAAATTCCATAGACTTGCATTGAAGGACGAGCCTCAGTCGTATCTAGAGATTAGAATATTATAATGGTGTGGCTTTTTTAGAGGGCCAGAAAATAACATTCCAACAACCTTGCAACTACCTGGAAGATCCTAGCAACCAAATAGCCCTGGCAACTATCCAAAGCACCCTACATTTTGCATGGCCAGAAAGCACATTTTCATCAGTGTATTTTCACATTTTCAGAGCACATTTTCAAATATAAAGTGAATATTGTTTATTTAAAACTATTGTGTTGATGATTCATTAAAATACTTTTCTTTTTACTTTTACACGTGGGCTAATTATTATTTTCAAAAACTTTTTCAAACATATTGTTCAAGATAAAATGCTTTTTCCCAATATCATGAATGTTTGAATAATGAATTGTGAAGCCTTTGGGAATTATAACATTTGATTTTTTTTATTAATAAAAATAATTACGATAAATATATTTATAATGTTTATTTTTAAATATGTATTAATTTATACATATTTATTTTAAATATTAGTAATACTTATTTTTTTATTAATTTGAAATATTCCTGATATTTTTCAGAATTTTTTTGTTTTTTGCACATAAACTAAAGGATTTTTTTTTTTTTTTTTGCATGACAATAACTTTTTGAAGTTTTGTTTGAACCATTTGATGAGATTTTTTTCTTTGACATCTCTAGACAATTTCACCAGCTACACATTTTTGAATGTATGCCCCACCAAACATATCAAAATGAATTAATAATCAAAAAATTGCATGAAATTATATGACATGTTGATCGTGGAAGAAGTGTATTCTTTGGCATTGTCCGTATTATTTGCCTTTTTGCATCATGTAATTGGTTTTAAGCGATTCAGTCTCTTAGGCTCTTGTACCTGTCATCTATTTTTATATCAACCCTCAACCCTTGTCTCTTTCTTTAACAACTTGTCTTTTCCCACATCTTTCTCTTTTCTTTCTTTCAGTCTGTGAACTACACACTTTGTTGTGGTGACCCGAGTTAAGAGTCCTGAACTCTTCTGAACTGTTCACCCCATGTGAGAAACTCCTCCATTTCTATAAATTATTTATCTATTTGTTTACTCTCGTCCCTCCCCTCCCTGTGCTGTTTTTGCAGCTCTTCCTTTGACCCTTTTGTGATTTCTCTCCCACCCTTTTTTCATTCTTTTTCTACATCACCCTCTTTTATCTCTCTATTCATTTTTTGGCTGGAATATGGCGGCAGGCCTAAAAGGAGTCGTGGTCTGAATGGGGGGCATCGCGAGTGGATTTGCATAATCTGTGGCGTGGCACTGGTGCACAGACACCGAGAGAGATGGTGCCAACCAGTCCAAGGTGAACTGAACTCTCCTCGCCAGCTCAGAGATTAGTGACACTAACAGGCTTTACAGCAGCCGAGTTCACAGAGGGTTTGGCTGACATATCAGTGCCAACTTCTCTGGCTCCCACAGTGAACGCTGTGTATGTGTGCGTGTGTGTCTGGTGAGAAACTGTTGCTTCTTTGATCGACTCGTACAAGGCAGTGACAAGCACATACGTGTTTGTTCACACGTACTGTATATATGCACACATACTCAACGCAAGGCCCAAACTGAACTGAAGTCTTTTAGTCTTCTAGATTCAAAGTTTATGGAGCAACTTAAGAATTATGATTTTGTTCATTTATTTAATGTCAAAGTGGTTTCAAAATTTCCACCAAATATGATGATCAACCACCTCTAAGTCAGACTTGAATAATGCAAACTGTTCAAGAGAGATAATTGTGACTTTTCTGGTTTTAGCTCATTTTAAACCAAGCAGCTTTCTGTTGGTCATTGTGGAGAATTTGTGTGACTAGCCTGAACCAGTTGCGAAATAAGCACAAAGTTCCAGATTGCATGGATTCCTATAGAAATGACTGGATTTCGCCCACAAATATTTGCTGAACAAATGGTAAATGTGACCACACCATTACTCTGAAAATTCCTAAAACAATTAAATATATAATGTAATTTAATTAATGCAATTAAAAGTACACAAAGGTCAATGTTACATTCATAACACTGTATAATTATAACTTTATATGTCACTGAATGAAAAAGCTTAATATTATATTGAATATTTACTAATATTAGCCAATACATCAAATATTCTTAAACACTAGACACATCATCAGATTGTTTAATAATGACGTCAGACAAACAAAATGACAACTTTAAGCCCCAAAGAGATACTGTTTAAACCAAATCAGCATATTAGAATTATTTTTGAAGGACTATGTAACTCTAAAAACTGGAGTAATGATGCTGAAAATCCAGCTTTGCATCACAGAAAAGTTATTTAAAAATATTTTGCAATATTACTGTTTTTTAACTGTATTTTTGATCAAATAAACGCAGTCTTGATAAGCATAAGATATTTTTGACCCCAAACTTTTGAAAGGTTTTGTATATAGAATTATATATATATATATATATATATATATAGTATACAGTTAAATAAATAAAACATAACCTAACCTAATAAATATAACATTTTAACATGCTGCAGGGTTGCATGATACAGACGTGTTTGTTTGCTGTCAAATCTCCTGTGTTTTCTCACAGTACTGTCTTTTCTTTAGGCGTGACATTGTGTTGTGTGACAGTGTGAGAGAAAATGTTGCTTCTATACTGTCGGTTGCCAAGTTTTAGCTTTAATACTGCTCAAATAAATAGGGTGAGGGGGTCTTTGGGGTGTGAAGGGGTTTAAAGGATACAGTGTTCACATTCTTCTAAGAATTTGAGGTGTATTCTTCATGTAGAGTACTCATGAATCCCACTATTCTCTCCCTTTCCCTCCTCCCATCATTTATTCCTCTCTCTGTTTGTCATTCTTCCTCTCGCCCGGCTCAGGTTAGAGCTCCATCCTGAGGTAACTCGTGGAGAAGTCCGGAGGTTGTGGTCCTCTTTGTTCACTCAGCAGGATGGAACTGTGGACTTTCAACAGTTTATACGTCACTTTGGCCCGTCGCCCAAATCCTGCTGTTACCCCAATGCCAAGCACAATCCCCCCAAACGTGGAGACAATGACTTCATGCGCCTCTCCAAAACACTCAACTGCGTCTCAGATATACTCGTGGATGCTCTACGGGCCAAGGTGTGGGTGTAAAAATACCTCTGCGATGGTGTAGAGTTCTTTGCGTGAAAAGAGTTGAGATATGATTGTTATTTAAACAGTTTTCTGAACCTCTTTCTCTCTCCCTCTCAACAGGTGGAGTTGTCTGTTTCTGAGCTCTGGACTGAGTTCTCTGAAATGGATTTTTCTGGAACAGGTTTTGTTAGCAGTGATGAATTTAAAGAGATCCTTATGAGTCTCTGTGTTCATCTCAGCCAGTATGAGTGTGATCTACTGGCCAGGAAGTTTGACATCAACCATGATGGCAGGTAGATATATTTACATTATGGAGAACCAACCCTGCAGTAAACAGATATCTGTCTATCTATCTATCTATCTATCTATCTATCTATCTATCCATCCATCCATCCATCCATCCATCCATCCCGTTTGAAGTTCAAGACCCTTCTGCAGCTTTACATTTTGTATAATGCATAATAAGGTCTACTGACCAGGTCCAAAACCAGCAATGTTTTATCCATTTGAAGTAAACTGACATGAACAACGGTGAAAGAATGTGATGATATTATTGGTCATATTGATAGTTATTAATGACTTAGTATCAAGTTGTGTTTGTGATTAATGACTTTTTCTGAATTTGGATCAAGCATATCAAACCATAGATTTATAATACATTTTATAGAGAATTCACATTCATCTGTATGATGAGACATAACTGAGTATTTCATGTCCTCATGGAATTTGTCATAATTATTTTCTTCTTCTCTGAACAGCGTATCCTACATGGAATTCCTCAAGCCTTTTCTATCCCAGAGTCAAATATGGAAGCATGGATCCAATATGGCAGCTGCTCTGCAGACTCCCAGAGACCCTAAAGAAATTTCCACCCTGGAAACATTAAGTCGCAGGATCAAGAAAAAGGTGATGCGTTGTTTATAGGTGACGATCTGTGTGAATACATGTATGAATGTTTATTTTCCTCATGTGTCGGTGTTGTAGCTCCAGCGTAAGGCTAGGGCTCTTAGCAAGGCCTGTGCCCGGCTGGATGGCTCCAGCACTGGGCTTCTGTCTGCAGCTGAGCTGGGTGCTGTGCTACAGCTGTTTGGAGTGTGTCAGAGCCAAGAAGAGCTGAGGAGTGTGTTCTCTACCCTTCACACACACCCGTCTGGACTCCTAGACTACCGCCCGCTCCTAATGGACAAACACGGGACATCCAGTCACCAGCAGGCCAAACACCAGCTCAGCCAAAGGAGTCAATAGGTCAGAGGTTTCAAACAAATGATGGCTACACTGGCTTAGTAAATTTGTAAGTTAATGTTTCAACTAAACATATTAACCCTATTGGCTTCATGCAGAAATAAAGATGCACAATCAATATTCAAGTTATAATCATGACATAAATGTTAGTATTGTATTGCTTTATATTAGATTTGGTTAGATTCCATGCCTTGGATTTCATTGCTTTACAGTTCAGTGTGTTCAAAGCAGTGCATAATAAAATTGAGTCAAATAAAAAGAGTTTGTCATCTGATTTTAATGTAAATTGATTTACATTGTAATAACTCTAAATTGAATTTGCATTCAGACTCTTAGATGTGAAATACTTTTGTGACATGCTACATCTATAATACATCTAAAACATTTTAAACAACATCTTGCTGATTTTCATGATTATTTTGCATATTATTTGTACTATGCAAACTCATTTGTCTCAATGCAGGACTGCTTAAAATGAACTATAGTGAATCCAAAAATGCTGAAAAAGAAAATGACACAAATTCTGAAATATTTTATAACCATTTTTGCAGCAAAACTATTTAAACTGAGTCTGATGCTGATTTTTTTTTATTCTTTGAAAAAATAGATGTTAAAATAGTTGGATAGATGAATGAAACCAAGATGAGTATTTCTAGATTACGAATATAAAAATGACCTTGTTTCTGAAGAAACAGTGATAGATCACTGCAGTACAATATTTCATATTGTTGAATGAGATCTTTTGAGATTTTAAAATCTTGTCAAGCATATTTTTTTAAATTCATAGGTCTGAGTAGGCTTTCAGGCTGATGTCCTCCTCTTATGTAATTTGTAAAAGTGTCCATCATACTGAGTGAACATGGGAACATGAAACACCACACCACCATAACAGTGTTTCATGTGCTTCCCTGCGGTGTCAGATGTGTTTAGTTTAGAAAAGACCTGCAGTTTTCTTAACAAAACCGCTTGCGTATAAATAAAACTTCAGATGCGAAGAAACTTTCTTGGCTGCTTTCTTTGGCATTTTAAGATATTTTACATGACAATAGAATAAAACCCTGAGCCATTTTAGCTCTGCTTCATTTGTTTTGATTCATACTGTGTGATGAAGCTAAAGAACTCTAATTTTACCAGCTTTTCTCCCTCCGCTTAACACAGTGTTCCCTCTGCGGATTTAAACTAATATTGGCTTGTTGGTCACTCAGTGCTCTTTCATCGCTTTCGTCTTTCATGGCATTATCGTTTTTCCCATCTGCATGCCCTCTTTGTCTTCTGACCGTCTTCTCTCCTCTTTTCCGCACCAACGTTTTGAACACCGTTTGGCAAACAGCTTTGTGTTATCCACCCAATCATCCGTTCATCCATCCATCTATCTGTCTGTTCATCCATCAATTACTCGCTCTGACAGTTGGATGACAGACACCTGTGCTTTTCTTCCAAAAAGTGACAATGTAGGTGTTTGTGTTGTATATACACAAAGACAGAACCTAGTTTTCACTTTAGACATGAGAGAGTTTTGATGCATCGTTGATCCTTTTTTAATAATACTTTTGAGGATGCATTAAATTGATCAAAAGTGACAGTTAAGACACTTTATAATGTTAGAAAATATTTTCAACATCATAGTTTCACAAATAGTCCTAAAAGAAAAATATGGTTCCCTTTCATGGGAACTTCGAACTGCGTCCTCTAGGGGGCGCTATGGGGAACGCCTCGTCGTGACCCGTGTCTGAAGCATACATTGAAAAAACACCAACTCGTTGGCCGGCGACAGCCATGACGTCACTACCGGTGCGACTAAAGTATAAATAGGCGCCGGGAGCATCACATCATTCTCTTCTTCGTCTTCATTGACTGTTTTGTTTGAAGCGTGCATTTCCAAGGAAAAAGTAAGAGCTATCTCTATTTATTATGGCGAGCACTAGCAGAGCATTTAGAAGGTGTGTGCATCTGTGTCATCTCTATTTGACATCAGATGACACACACGATCTATGTGTTGTTTGTTTGGGCAAAGAGCACGCACGCGATGCCTCCGAGGGGGCAATCGGCGTGCACTGCGAGCGTTTTTTCCAAGGGGAAAAAGCTCCGCTGTTCTAGAGGACGCAGTGTCTCGTTCCCTACTCAGGGAACCATGGTTACACAAGTAAGCTGAGACGTTTCCATAAAAGTATTAAGCAGCCTAACTGTTTTCAACAAGAAATGTTTCTTGAGCAGCAAATCAGCATATTAGAATGATTTCTGAAGGATCATGTGACACTGAAGACTCTAGTAATGATGCTGAAAATTCAGCTTTACCATAACAGGAATAAATTACATTTTAAATAGGAAACACATGTTTGACATTGTAATAATATTTTACAATAATATGTATATTTTGATCAAATAAATGCAGCTTTGGTGAGCATAAGAGACTTCTTAAAAATAAATTTAAAAACCTTTTAAAAATATGATATAATATGCATTTCAGTGTGTGGTTGTGTCCTGCATCCCGGTCTCATGCCTGAATTCTGGCCCTCTGTTTAGGAGCTTTGATTTCTTGGGGCTGATTATTTTTCTTCAGGTCCACTCAAGGATGAAGCCCAAGGAACCCAAGATTGTCTTCCTTTCAGCTCCATCACAATGGAGCAACCCCCGCCAAAGTACCACAACCTCTCCCGCCTTCTCTGGAATCCCTCTCCCTCTCACTCCCTTTCTCTTTCCTTGGTGCTTTCTTGGAAGCTGGTGCCATACAACTTACTTAAAGGCGATGGGATGAATTCAGGCTTTGAGAAGGAGGGGTCCCAGGTCCCCTATCTGGACAGAATCACACCTGTTTTGTACCCATCGTGATATTCTAGGACAGTGTGTCCCTTTAGTGATACATCAACGCTCTTTATCTGTCTCTCTCTAAGGTGTCCCCTTAGGAGATCTGAGTGATATTGGTTTCTGGTATTATTTGTGGTGTCAAAAGCATGTGGGACGAGGGTGGAGAGGGGCGTGGCTCTCTTCTTCTATGCCATTGTAGAGGCTAAAGAGAGTAAACCCTCTACAGTTAAAGAGGGAGGGACACAAGTGCCAACATCTCAGAAACAAGCAGCATCATGGCTGACTGGAACCTGGTAAAATGATATGCAAGAGTTATTTTATTTTCCACCATGGTGGCCGTCTCTCCCCTAAGATAATCCTGAGCATAGTGAACAACTGTCTGTCTGATTTGCTTAAGTCAAGTATGGAAATGACACATATTGTTCAGACTGATTCACATATTACATATATAACGGCATAATACGGCCTTAGCATATATCGCTGTGCATTATTTACAGTCAATATTCTTGTACTTTCACAATGCTTCACTATGATCTTTTCTCGGAACATAAGTTGAACTACTGAGCTAGATGATGTCACTCCCTTAAATATGATGTAAGAAAAATAAAAACATTATTTTAAAAAGGGACGATGTCAGCATAAAGAACACGGAGGGACAAATATTACTTGTCTCAGAAAATGCAAAAAAAAAACATTTTAGAAAAGAAAAAAAAAACGACTTACATTGCCATTCAAAGGTTTGGGGTCAGTATTTTTATTTTTACTTTTTATTTTTAGTTTGTGTGTTTGTTTATTTATTTGAGAAATTCATGCTTTATAATGCCTTCGCAATGTTACAAAATATTTCTATTTCAAATAAATTTCCCCACAAGTTTCCAAAAAAAAAAATTCAATGGCAAAACTGTTTTCAACAAGACTGCAATGGCTGCTGAAAATTCAGCTTCGCCTGCACAGAAATAAATGACATGTTAAAATATATTAAAATAAAATGTTATGTTCAATTGATAAGTAAATAAATAAATAAATATTGTTTTTAATGCGTGGTCTACATAACCCAATAAAGTGTAATGGTAATGAACAGGGTCATTTAAAATGGTCAAAAAATATATAATAATAATAATAATAATTTTTAATAAAATTGTGAGAAGTTGTATGTGTGTGTATGAGAGAGAGGGGGAAATATATCTCGAGAGTAGGTTTGTGAACCCTTTTGGATTTCTGCATTGCTTATTCATGTTCATACACCTTCATCTTGTTCATATTCATACACCTTCATCTAACTCAGTCACAGACAAACATAATCTGCCTTATAAACTAGTAACACACAAACGGTTGTACTTTTCACACTTTTCACTGCTGAAGACAGTGAGAATTCATTCAAAGTTCTAGCTGGAGAATGTAAAGTCAAGCTCTCTTTTACAACTTCTCCAAAAGCTATAATTGGAGTCAATTAAAGAGATTAAATAAAAGCACACAAAGCCTGGTTACTGACAAATCTGTTCTTCTCAAGAAAGATGGGTTAGTGTGAACCATGCTTCAATCCCGAAAACTGTCATAAGACCTTAAAAAATGACAGACGCACAAAGCTGGGAAAGGCTAAGAAAGCATGGCTAAAGACCTGGGTCATGAACCCACAAAATGATACTCTGTCTACAATACAGATAATTATGGACTGTTGCTACTCTCCCTAGCAGCGAGCATCCTGCAAAGCTCAGAAAAAATATTTGGGGCAAAAAAAAGTGCTTTGCTTAGAGTAAAAAGAGCACTGCATGCATGGAAGGAGCATCATGGTGCTTGTTTGTGTGTTATTAGTCTAGTCAAATTGTATTTGTCTATGATGGTGACTTGAATTAGGATCAGACCACATTTTATGAGTAAGCAATGCAGAAATGCATATATTTTTAAAGGGTTCACAAACGTTTTATTGCAACTGTAGCCTAAATGAACATTGCCTCTGTTAAAACCTCTCACATCCATCAGACTCCCTCCCTATAGAATACTTATTATTTACCAGTTTGATTTGTTATTTGCATCCTATTTAAATATAGGTGGAAGAGACACTGGGATAGGATGGGGGGCTGGATTTATGTCCAAATGGATCCCCCTAAAAAAGAGGCTTATTGTCAATCAAGGGGTTTCAGACCAGCAGACCATTACGCTAAGGGTTAATCTCAAGAGACAAAACAGTCTAGATAGAAAGACAAATTCAGCCATGGTATCTTCATAAGAATTTGTGCACGTCACTGAAATGAGGAATTCAGTGACTCTATGATTTCATTTGATATTGTGGATTGTTGTGCATTAAAATACTTATGGAAGAATATAAAAAGGTTATATTTATTTTTAATTTTATGTGAAACAGACATTTAATGACATTATTTTACTCTCTCTAAATATCCAGTGTGCCACTGTACAAATTTTACTTATTTATTAATTTATTTATTTTTTAGTAGTAGTTTTGGCTGAATATTAGGCCTATATGTTATTGTAGTGGTTTAATGATTACTTTTTCGGGTTTTCCCCCAATTTTCTTTTTCTAACTTATAATGCATATTGAACTATAGTGGACGCATAACAGTTCTCCACAGCTATTCGCTTTCATATACAGTTCAAAATACCAGAATAAATGAAAATTACCTTGTTTTCTTATATTACCATGTTACGTTATTTGTAGAGATTTGACATTTGCAATTTGACATGTTAAGAGAACTTGATTCATAAAAACCATCCGAGTGTCTACTTCATTGCTCATACCCATTATTGTTTTGCCTATAATTTTCTAATTTTAGTTTAATCTTTAAAAAGAACCCCTAGGTTTACAGTACTATTGATGTTCTCTGGATATTAGTGGATTCAGTAGCTGATTTTAAAATGACTGATATCTTTATCCCAATGAGAGGAACACGCTATGTGGCCTATACCAACTAAGGGGGAAGTCGTGGCCTAATGGTTAGAGAGTCGGACTCGTAACCCAAAGGTTGTGGGTTCGAGTCTCGTACCGGCAGGGATTGTAGGTGGGGGGAGTGAATGTACAGCGCTCTCTCCCACCTTCAATACCACGACTGAGGTGCCCTGAGTCTGCACCGAACCCCTAACTGCTCCCCGGGCGCTGCAGCATGGCTGCCCACTGCTCCGGGTGTGTGTTCACTAAGTTTGTTAACATCTGTATTCTGATTTGTTGATGTTAATGAATGTTAAGTGGTTTCTTGGTATTTCCTACAAACCTTTTTCTCTCCCGCGCGGGAAGTCTGCGGAGTGGAGTGCGCGCAGATACTGCACCGTCATTTCCAGGATTTCTGCTTTCTCGAGTTTCCCAGAGTTCTGTTTTAATACACAAAGTCTGTCAGTCATCGTATAGGCCTATATTAACAATTTAGGCAGACGTGAGCACTTAGAGCGCTTAAACTCATTCAGCGTTTCAGCTGCGCACCTGTTTAGCCAATGCCATAGGAACTGTCTTTCCCAGCTCGTTTAGACATGCACCGAACCCCTAACTGCTCCCCGGGCGCTGCAGCATGGCTGCCCACTGCTCCGGGTGTGTGTTCACTGCTGTGTGTGTGCACTAAGGATGGGTTAAATGCAGAGCACTAATTCCTAGTATGGGTCACCATACTTGGCCACATGTCACTAAAGGACTTCCAACATCGTGCCAAAAGACACAGTCTTATTCAAACATCATTTATTTCCTGATATATCTAAAACATGTACACATATAAAATGTACACATATATAAATTAAGCACATTTGCAGACGTATTTACAGAGCAGCGTGTTGTGCATTGTGTAAGCTGAAGGCATTGGGGTGTGAGTGCCCGATGAAGTTCATGTAATGATGATCGAGTCCCTGAACCGGTGATAAGTATCCGCTGTGCTGAGACATCGCTGGATACGCGAGCGTGGGGTTCCGCGCCGAGTGGTGCCAGGGAAAGTGTCCGGGAGGGCTCTGCTGAAACATTGACTCGGTTGGACTTGGACTCTGGTACTCCAGCTGGCACAGAAGGTCCGTAGGGTCTGGTGAGATGGTGCCCAACGAGCCAAACACGGGCTCGGTAACGACTTTGGACTGCAGGAACGCGAGGATGCGTGCGTATTTGGTGTCTTTGGTCTCCATTCGCTCCACGGTGGTCAGGTAGTGAACGAGGTTCTTCATGCACTCGCGATAGCCGAAGTGAAAGTAATTTGCAAACTCTGTCAGCAGTTCTCCTGTGAAAACAAAGAACGTTGTTAGAAATCAGCAGGGAAGAAAGGGCTAGATTTGATGGTTTAAAAGCGGAATCGTTTTACATTTGGGAGACCTTTTGGAGACGGAGTCCCCCCGTTTGTTCGCGGCGTTTCTCACACGACTTGGTGACACGTCCATCTTTCATGGGCTACGGCCGGGTTTTTGTTTACATTCTCTAGTTTCGTTAGGGGCCTCGGCAGGTGTGGGGACCCGGCCTGGCACACGAGCGGCCCCTCCGTCCATGTTAGAGACTCCAGCCGTCTTTGGCACACGAGGGTTACCCACCGCTGGATTCCCTTCAGAGGGGCTCAATTTGTATCCTATTATCCTATAAGAAAATGTCTATTGAGCGGAATGAATAGTTTCATTGGCCTAAATTTTAATAATGCAGTGCAAGAAAAGAAAAGGAGAAATAAAGAAGAATGCAGCTGGTCCTGACGCGCATTATTCTCCGTCACCTGCGCCTGGAGACCTCTATTCATTTGCCTAATTTCGGTCAACTTAACAAACTTTGGGAGAAATTATTCTGGTATTGTTGTGAAGGGTGAAGCTTTCTGATCGAATTAACAGCATGTTTTGATCCGGTAAATGTCATTAGAAAGAAAGAAACAATCGCGTATAGAGGGGTCTGGGTAGCGCGCCAAGTGGCGACGCCAAAGCGCAATTCATGCAATAGGGGACTTTTGTACCCCCACATTGCTCAAGTTTGTGCCCAACAAAGGGCATTATTTTATACTTGAATACATTTCATACAATAATTGGCTGTTTTCATCAAACATATTTTCACAGCAAGGTTAACAACAGGTTTATTGTGTTCTCCCAGGCTCCCAGCCTCGGACTTCATGCGCCAAAACGCCTGGATCTTATGCTTTTTTTTCACTGGGAACGTTTTAATCCTGACGGTTGGCTATGCTTTAAAGTGCGAGATCGTGTTGCATCGTGGAGGGAAAAATCAAAGATGTGTGGATTTTTTTTTTCTTTTAAAGAATTCAAGCCCTTTGGATATCCAAAGCAACTGAGACTTTTTACACAGCGCGCAAAAGAAAAGCACCGGTGAAACAGACTAAAGCATAAAATCCCATTATTTATTGTTGAATTTACCACAAGATTTTATGCAAACGCTCTTTGGAGCCGACACAACAAACCTTTTTAACTTGCTTTCGGATTCTTAAGTTCTGTAATGTGACTATTTATGATCTGTTTTTTTTTTTTGTAAACGTGTGTTGTGCTTTGAAGAAGAGTAATACGTCAACAGAATTTTCTCCTATCACAGCGTAATTTAATTGCCCAACATTACACCAAACAACCCAATAAAAAAAGATTACTGTATTTTAACATCTTAAAAATTAGCTGTTGTTGCATTCATGTTTTTATTTATTTTTTTTTTGTGGAAGAAAGATTTAAAGAGCAAAAAGGAAGCTGGAAAACGTGAACCAAAGCATCATTGTGCAACAAGTTCATCCCATATTTAGTGTTGATAACGATACGTTATAAAAAAAGACCAAACACAATTGTATTTCTCAAGCGCCTGATTTTTAATGTTCTAACACATTCCTGATACATATTCTAACGAATATAACTTTGCGTAAACCATTCACATAAAAATGTATTTATTTGTCAGTATAGATTATACTATTATAAAATATATTATAACATAAAATTTATATTTGTATTTTTTTTATTTTCTTAAAATATAAATTGTAAAATAAAAGGTAAAAAAAAGGGAGGAAAAAAAAGTTCGGCAAAAGACGGGATCGAACGTTGGAGAGCGGAATTACTGCCAACAAGGCGGGCTATTTGCACTAAGTGTAAATAGACACCCCGTATTTTTTATTCCCTAGTAAGGGCAATTCATACAATACATTTAAACTGAGCTACTTTAATACCATCTCCGAACTTTCTACCACGACTCTGCTGTTCTTCGGCTGGTTCTTCCCTGTATAAGTTGATTGACAGATGTCTCGTCCAGTCAGCTGTGAATAATCCCAAACCAATGGTGCTGTCTCAAACTATACCTACCTTTTCCGGTTTGTCTGATTTGTCGTTGTGTTTTCTGACTTGTTCATTTGTTTTCGGATTTGTCATTGTGTTTTCTGACTTGTTATAATGTTTTCTGAATTGTTGTTGTGTTTTCTGAATTGTTATTTTGTTTTTTAGACTTGCATTTGCGTTTGTAATTTGTTATTTTGTTTTCAGAATTGTGATTTGTTTTGCACTTCTCTGCCACCGTACTTTTGCCTAACGTTAACGTTCTGTATTAGCCTACTAAATCGAAAGCGCCATCGTGTGGAGATTTCAACAAAACTTACACGTCGACTTATAACAGAAGTCTCAAAAATACTTTGACATTTGAATCGAGTCTATGAAAAATGTGTGTTAATTTATTACTGTTTATTGGTATGACTATTTGGTTCAGACAAAAGTTTCAACATTTATTAATTAATTCGTTTTATTAGTTATTTTAGGTACAAAAATAGTTTTGGTGCTGCAATTCCTCAGCAAGTACCCTATATACTATATATATTTGTCATTTAGTATGTTGCGCACATTTGCGAGATTTGAAATTCCTACGTTGATGGGAAAAAAATGTTGATCCTCCAGACGATGTGTTGTCATGCGAGAGGCGGTGACCCGTGGTGACCCCAGGCCAGAAACGCACACAATCCTTTAGCTTCGCGCGCCACCGTGAGTCTCCTCTGCATCACTTCACACGAGACATTCAGCATTGTTCGTGCATTACAATAGAGCATCCTTAATATACAAAAAAAAAAAAAAAAAAAATCGTCCGAAATCAAATATTAATCTATTGCTCACTGAATACATTTAAAAGGGTGAAACATAGCTTTCCTTACTTCTTGTTTTTCCCCTAATAAATGTATCTTAAAAATGAACACTGATTTCATAGCGCAGTATTGCTCACCAGAGGGAGACATATTATCATGTAGAAGTAAACTAAACGCTTGTTGAAAGAAAGAAATAATTTTTAATTAGCGTTTTTGTTTCACTTCTCAGATCTCAATTCATATTTCATCCTGCATCACCACACCAAGCACCCAGTTTAAAGTTTAGCCGTGACGATTATTTATTTGACCATGAAATGAAATGCATAAATTGAAATATAATGTATAAAGTTGGTTGAAATATATAACTCAAAAAAGTTGTTATTAAATATTTACAAATATAGATTATACGATTGTCGACAGAAAAGGCGTAATTATTGATGTAGGTACACACTAATAGAGAGTTAAAAATAAACTTTTGTCTTCTTCATATTATTGTAACTCATATTTATTAGGATACGTCACCTCATTCTGCACAGAAAGAACATAGTCGTGGCTTCAGCTTGTGTCATTAGTGAACATTGCAGTTTATTTATCAACATCACAATAGTGCGTATGCACATTTACCTGAAAAAATGACCAATTGAACTTATTATTTCAAGTCATACGCGTAAAGATATGAGACAGGTGTTCTGATTGGTCGCGCGCCCAGTTTCGTATCTGAAGACTGCGCGCAGAGCCATACGCGCCTCCAAATAACAGCTGTGGGGACGCTACATTCACACCATTCAGGTCTGTGCAATTCTGCCTTAATCTTGGCTGGATTAATAATACTATTTATATGGATTGAACTGAATAACGCTTAAAAACATCCAAACCATGCACATTAATACATAGGGCCTATATCATGGAGAAAAGCGATCAAATGCAAATTGTTGCATCAGTGCATCTGCTCAGCTTCATGCATGCTCAGTTTTAACATTAAATGCAGTGATGATGCCGCGTTTGGGGATGTTTTAATGCAGCGAGGTCTGCTTTTAGAAGCAGAGTGATGGAGGGAATTAAGTCTGACTCATTTGGCTGAATCGGTTATTTTGAACAGTTCGTTTCGACCATAAACTGAAATGCTCTTAACCAGTTCAAAACACGATCATTTTCACAGCGTAAATACGTCCTCAAGTGGTTTCTGACATGCCATCGCTGCATGCAAATAAACAATAGGCACATGATGGTTTTTATTACTTTTCTCTAACAAACACTAAGATTACTGTAAACAATATATAAATAATAAACGATATTTAAAGCTGCTCTGGTTCGTTTGTGCTTCTCATAAAATTCCAATACGCTTTATTTGTGTAGGCTGCTTTCTGATATTAAAGGGGTCATATGATGTTACTAAAAAGAACATTATTTTGTGTATTTGGTGTAATGAAATGTGTTTATGCGGTTTAAGGTTAAAAAAACATTATTTTCAACATACTGTACATTATTGTTTCTCCTCTATGCCCCGCCTTTCTGAAACGCGTTGATTTTTACAAAGCTCATCGATCTGAAAAGCAAGGTGTGCTGTGATTGGCCAGCTATCCAGTGCGTTATGATTGGCCGAATACCTCAAGCGTGTGACGGAAATGTCACGCCCCTACCATACTATGATGCCCTCAGGCCAGAGCAATGATTCAAAAACATGAAAACCCATTATAAACAAGGCATTCGTTGCATCCAGTGGGGACATAATTATGGATTATAATGACTTATATTGTCTTTTTACACGTTGCGTTGCATCGCGCCGCGTAAACATAAAACCATGTCTGCATTTGTGATCAGAGAAATGACAAACTACAAGTGCTA